TTTCCCGTTGTATAGTAAATACTAAATAATATAGGCATTATAATCTGTAATATAGGCATTATAATATAATTTAGTAAAAATCTTTAATTTTTATTTAAATATCAAATTTTGTAAAATTTGATCCTGAGATGTCAAAAAAAAAATTTTGCTCTTGCCTATTTAAGATGCTCTTAGTTTTTTTGCAAGAACTAGTTACTAGGATCTTTCTATTAAATGTTCTAGCCTTACCTATCTATTTATTTTAAAACATTTTTTATTACATATTTACAAATGTTCGTGATCTTAACAATTTTTGTCAACATTTTAACTTCAAACGCTTATAAAAAAATTGTGTCTATTTAAATTTTGGTTTTTTTTAAACTGCAATAAAAATAATTATCTGAGATCTTGTATTAATTATTTAAGCTTTTGGCTGAGTATAAAATTTATTTATTGATATGTTTTATAGAATAAAAACTAAACAAATTCAAAAATTTCAAATGCCTATAATATCTTTACTTAGTCTAGGTATATAGTTTCAACATTTCATTTAGTATTTTTTTTTTTGATGTGTAAACATCTATGCTATCGGTTTGTAGTATGACCTTCTTGGGGAATCGAGCGTCAGGCGTAAGTCATGTAGATGTGACTGCTTGAGTGTGTGTGTCGTCGCCATAGCGCTAAAATCGCAGAACCAATAAACCAGGCAAGTTGCTTATCTATTATTATCTTTGTTATTTTCACGAGTCTGGTAGGTGCGAACGCGCTCTGGTACCGTCGTCGGCCGATTCATTATTATTATTAATATTATTTATTATTCTCGTTTACGTATACGAAACCGTGTTTGTATCGTATAATATGTATTATACAAATTCCCACTCAAACCATGACATTATATTCCCCAATCAAAGTCGTACTACAGCTAAGATGTTTACACATCCTTCGTGAGTACAAAGGCACTCACATTTTCGTATACAATGATATGATATCATTGAATTCAAATTTAAAACAACCCATTATACAGTTACCAACTTGTAACCTACTGTGCAGCAGAGCGACATCCACTTACTCGCTTTTTTTTTTTTAATTAACAGAATACATTCCTAGCCATAGGCTATCTATATCTATTGATATTTGACGAATTACATAGTTTTAGCAGTTTAACGCGATAATTGAAAAATATATATAATATATTTACATATTTGTGTGATGCTTGTTAAATATTTATTAGTGGGAGTGATGAGGAGTGGGATTTTGTTTATTAGGCATGTTGGAGCGGCTAGGAGGGGGTTTAGGACTAATTTGAACTCGTTAAGGAAGTTAGTGACAATTTGCAGAGTTTGATCCACCAGAGTTTGGCCAAGTTTTTCCTTTGTGTATTCGAATTTTACAATTGAGTTTAATATTTTGACGATTTTAAATATTTCACGATTATTGGTGTTGCGAACTAGGCTGATGTTAAATAGTGGAAGTTGCAATTTGTTCGTACAGTCTGTTATATTTGTAAATTGTAATGCTGATTACTTTGTGCCCTAGGTCACTTAGACAGTTTACGTGGTAGGAGTCAAATGGTGGAGGTGGTGTAGTACGAGGAACGGGGGAGATAAGAGTGGTATTCTGGTTTGGCTTCTATTAGATAAGACTTAATAGTCATGAAGTTGGCCTGTGTGTTTGGTCGTATGCTAATATTAGATCTGATCGCTTTACTTGTGAGCCCCTCTGGGCCCACTATGCGAGTTGGGTCTTCGTTTAATGTACTATAATCGGTTACCTTTGTTAGGACGATGTTCGGAAGTTTAACATAACTTTGTTTTGGTGAGGTTTCTACGGGTGTGTGACGGGTTGAGCTTCATTTGTGACGAAGACGTTGTCTTGTTCATCCGTTGCCAAGGCTCAGAAATGATTTGCCGAGACAAAAAATTTACTTTTTTTATCCTCATAGTCTGGTGAGTTATTGGAGGTCAATGATAGAGCCCTCTTTGATGGTTTTTCTATCGTTTTCTTTTTTTTAATTCTGGTCTTCTTTACAATGACAATTAGTGAGACAGTATTTGGATTTGGATATACCATTGGAGCGTTTTTAATGACGCAATTAAGAGTAACTGGTTGATGCGATAAGCATTACGGAACGCATGTGTTATCGCTATAGCTGTCTGAGCCCAACTGACATTTAATATAAAAAAGGTAATTTAAGTAATAGTGGCATGTTTCATGTTTCATAAATAATAATTCTTCATTTTTGAATTAAAATAAAATATCAATAGTCGGTTGATGGGATACCATTATTTTTACGTGTGAAAATCTAATCATTCTAATGTCAACATGTTAACTTCTGACTAATAAACTATAACTATTATTACATTCAATTTTTTTTTTAAATCTATGTAGAACCATGTATAACATTTTCAACTCTGAGGTTTTAATAACAAAACAATTTGCAAATTTTGTGATTTTTTTCAATATTTGTACTTTAAATGCTTATGAATGCATTTGATATTTTTATTTTCTGTAAGAACAACTTATGAGATGAGCCATGTATTCAATTTTCAAGGTTATTATTCATAGACAAAAGTTTAGTCCTACTTAAATCAAAAAAAAAAATCTAAAACAACTAAAATTTTAAAAATCTTTGTTGAATTGCACAAAGAGGACCGACATATTTTTAAATTATATTACCTTTAGGTAATGCTTACTTGAATATTTGGTGAAAATTACAAGTGTACGGTTGTTTATTTTTGAATAATAACAAACAACAAATCTGATTTTTCTAATAACTAGTATTTCTCTAATTTTCTTTATGTGTTTCCCAATCATTTTTTAAAATTTTGGGAATTTTCAATTCTTACCTCCCAAAAGCACTAGCCAGTTCCAATGTATCATGGGAAACCGTCTTTAAAGTTAATCTCTACCTAACCTAGTCTTTAAAATTTCCTACTGTAAATCGTATACTATACACTAAAGACTAAAAGGTACATACATCATTGTAAAATCATTACATTTATTGGTTAGAATTTAAATTTTCAAGATTTTAGGTTAGTTGAAGATTGGCAAATTGTTATGTAGAAGAGAAAGATATTTTTTACATTTATTTATACATAATAAAGTTTATGTCAAATTATATATATTATACTTTTTTGTGTCCTTTTACCATTACTAGCTATTGGAACTACTGTTTTTTTGCTTCTATTTAAATTCCTAATGTATAAATAAAAACAAATGTTGTTTAATTATTATTACTATTATTATTATTGACATATTGTAATATACGTTTTAAATTATTTTTTATATAAATGTATTTAGATAAAATTGATTGATGCAGCATATACTACTCAAGATCCTAATGCACTTAAAGCATCTTATACAACAATGGCATTTGTATCAGATGGATGTTCTGAATACCTGAAAAAGAATTATCTTAAACAATTTGTAACAGCTATTAAAATGGGATTAAATAGTTCAAATGAAACGGTTAAATCTGCAGCTATGTATGCTTTAGGAGAAGTTTCTCAATATGTTCAAGTTAGCATATTTAGGTTTTTATTTTATCAAGTTAATATTAATAATTATCTAATTATTTAATTTAGCCTCAAGTTAGTACGTATGCTGCAGAAATACTACCAGAATTAATGAAAATGTTTAAAGAAAAGTTAATTGTTGAATATACTAAGCCAGAATGTAGTTCTGAAGTGCGTATGATTTTTTATGCACTTGATAAATTTATTGATAGTATGGAAGGTGGAATTGATGAATATTTACCAGAAATGATTGGTATTGTAATGGATATTATAAGAAACGAAGAGTGTTGTGTTGAACTTAAAGACAAAGCAATTACTATCATGTGTAGCATTGGTATACTTATTTTTATTTTAAATTAAATTAATTTGATATGTATTAAATAATCACATTATGTTTATGTATAGTTAAGTCTGGAGGTGATGCTACGGCCCCTTACTTTATCCCAGTCATGGAAATTCTTGATGCTTATTTAAAACCTGGAATTGATGAAAAACTTGAAACTTTACAGATAATGGTCATTCGTAAGTAGAATTTAATTTTATACCTATATTTAACTTAATAATTAAAAGTATATATAAATAATTATTTTTTTTTATAATTTAGAATTACTATCTGAATTTGCGGTAGCTCTTGATCCTAAAGTATTTGAACCTTATTTGGATATGAGTTTAAAATGTGGTTTGGCTCTATTGCAAGAAGCAAAGGAGGATCAACCTGAGGTCCGTGCAGTATGTTATGGACTTTTTAGTTCTATAGCTAGAGTATCTATTAATCATTTGATACCATATATGGATCTTGTAATGCAACATGTTTTGAAAAGTTTGGACAATAGCTTAATTGCTGATAATAGTTTTAATCTGGAGGTACAAAACATATATATTTAATAAATGAAGCAATTAGATATTTTTCATAACAATGTGTTTACATTTTCAGAAAAAAAAATTTAATGCTTATGGTAGCGATGAGGATGATGAAGATGATAAAGATGAATCTTTAACAACTGAAGATGACGGAAGCAATGATTCTGATAGTGATGATTGTAAGTAATTGATCTATTTTTTAAATTTTTTTTATTTATTGGTAAATTAATCATTTATTTTATGTCAGTTGTCTATGTTGATGCACACGTAATGGAAGAAAAAGATAATGCTTGTCAAACAATTTCTCAAATTGCTCAAAGCACTGGGTATTTATTATTTATTAAATATATTATGTCAATATAATTACTTCTCTTTTTTGACATTGTAATCTTATCTATTTATATTTAAATTAGAGATCAATTTCTACCCTATTTAAATAATAGCTTTGACGTAGTATCAAAGTTATTGCAAGAAGATGATGAAGACACTATTGATTCTGTACTTGAATTATATGGACAAATTTGTATATATTTTTCAAAGTTACCTAATAATTGTGGCCAAGAGTGTAAGTTTGTTTTCAAATTAAATACTTTTATGATTCATATTCTTTAAAACAATGATCATATATATTATAAAGCTATTGTGATTTCTTATAAAATCTAAAGGCAAGATTATTATCCTTGTGGGCTTATTATTATATTGTAATTTTAAAGTGAATTTGTGTATTTTAAGATGTACAGCCAATTTACAGTTTTAAAATATGATAAAAAGCCAATGAGGTTGCCTAGATAATAATCTTACTTTTAGATTTTATAAGAGGTCAATTTACTCTAATATTTAAACTAACGGAGCTACATGTGTTCTGATCAGCGTAAAATTTGCTATGTTACGCACTTGTAAGACGGAGACAACACAAACCGGTATGACGTCCTCTAAATATCTCCTAAAATAATAAAAAGTTTTCATTGGATTTATGTTAGATCTGTCTACAACAATTTAACTTCAAATAATAATAACTAAAAAAAATGCAGGTAGCTTGTTGGGTAAAAATGTGATATATGAAAATAAAGATCTTTATAATTAGTTTGTCAATATTATAACAATTATATTAATGAAATATAATTACACTTTATTTATTTAGCCTTAGAAAAAGCTTTGGAAAGTTATTTGAAATACGGAGAGAAAAAAATACAAGAAGATGGATTTCCGGCTTTAGACTCAATATTCCTAGACGTATTAGCTGATATGTTGAAAGAAATTAAAACTAAGATGATTAAGTATGCTGAACCAATTATGGTACTCGCTAAATCTATATTAGAATTAAAAGTAAGAAAAAAATTAGCCATTTAAATCATTAAATTATTTTTTAAACTTATTTTGTTTAAATTAATATGTAAATATATGTTACTGAAAACAACAAGTACTTAATAATCGTATTCAATAAACATTTTAATGCATTTTTTATTTAGGATATTATTGGAAACATTTTCCACAACCCAGGATGTACAAAGTAAAAGTTGATGATCCATAATAGAAAACTGATATGATTTTTACTAATAATTTAAATTTTATAAAGTTGTAATATATTAGATTATATTATACATTTTTTTTATATATAATTATATATATACAAGACTCAATTGCTAGGTTATTGGCATTTTGGACATAACATTTTATAATTCATATAAACAATTTCAAATATGATACATGAAGGCAGTGTTGGGCAAAATAATTCTACGATTAACCGATAATTACAGTTTACTCCTAAACTATTATAATGTATACATATGCAGCACATATGTAAACAGGGGCGGTATTCCATGTAACTTTTTACTTGCCCCCCCCTTTCAAAATATAGTTTGGCGCCACTGCGTCTATTTCTGGAGTCTTTTGTCAAGAGGCATGTATATTTATTTTGTTTTCAAGAAAATATACTATAATTTGTATGCAAAAGGTGTACTGTTTTAGCACCTACTACTACATAGTATATTTCGCCCGCCACAGGCCACAGCGAAGAAGGTCGTATCTCCGTTTTCACAAATTTTTTTTTTTTAAATTGTCATAACTATTTTTGTGTAGTTCCCACGAAGACAGTAGTAACTGTATTTTATTGTAGAGAATGTCTTTATTTGTTTTATGCTACTATCAGTTTTGCAAGAACTACACAAAAACAGTTTAGACAACTTGAAAAAAAAAAATTGTGAAAACAGAGATATGACCTTTTTTCTGTGGCGGATGATTTGATTATTAGTACACTACTCATGCGTTTATTGTCTCTGTCTTCCAAACATACGACACCAAATTGTTCTTTTCTAGTTTCAATAATTTGCTGTTAATATTAATACTAGACCTATTATCAAACTGTGAGGTAAAGAACATTATCCGTGTTCTCTTATTGGTTTTTTTTTCGATATTTAATTTTCTAACAAATATGGGTATATGAAATACTACAAATTAATAATGCGCATATCTCGCTAGAAAATTAAAATATTGAATAAAAGCCATTGCTCAAGCATGGATAATGTTCTTACCTAAAAGTTTGATAATAGGTCCATTCATTCTTATATTAAAACTAACTGAACAGTATAGAAACTAGTCAACAAAAATTTTTTTAGTTTTTTTTTCTATAAATATCAAAAAAAATTTATTCGTTTTGTAAAAAAGCTTGAAAATTTAATACAAGGTTCCTGATATATTGTTTCAATAGCAGTTGAAAAATATTAAAAATACATAGGCACAATTTTTTTTATAAGCATTTAAAGTTCAAATTTTGACAAAATTTAATAATTGTTTTGTAGTTAAAAATTTATAAAATGTTCAACTTTTATAGCTAAGGATTGAAAATTTAAAACAGGGTTCCACGTAAATAGGTTATATATAAATTACTTTATTCACAATAATATCATCAAATATACTATGTAATATCATAGGCTGACTAGTTTTCGCTCAGAATCGTTTTTCTTATACAATGATATTATATCATTGAATTCAAATTTAACACCATCCATTACAATGACCCACTTGTAACCTACTGTACAGCACATCGACTTTTAATTTGAATTATTAGTGAAAATGTATATAAGTTTTCTGTTATGGATCAATCAACTTTTATTGTCATAATTTGTACATTTTAGTTTTTTGAAAATATTTTTAATAAAGCCCTGAATAATATACAATTCAGTTATTACTCAGTACTATTCGTAAATCCAAGCATTAAATAGCTAAACCTAGATTTATCTAGTGTTCAAGCTTTTTTGTCAACCAATATATTATACTAAAATATTTTTGCTTGATTTCAGATTGGTGATGGAAATAACCCCGGCGAGTTGGATGAGCTAGATAGTGAAAACGATACATTACCTATAGAATATGCAGGCAATGTTGTCTCGAATTTAAGTTATGTTCTTCCACCACAAGTTTTTACAGAATATTTTATTTCGTTGGTGCCATTGTTAAAAAAATTAATGGTAAATTGAGTAATTTATTATTTTGTTTCGTGTGTATAAATATGAACAAACAATTTTTTCCAGTCAAAAGATTCATCTGATTTATTACGAGCTGCGGGATTAGCTATAACTGGGGAATCTGCAAAAGGCTTAGGAGAAAATGCTAGTGGTTTGTGTGAAGTTATGTTTTCACTAGTATTTCCACTCGTTGAAGATGAAGACGATACTGTGAGGAATAATGCTGTATTTGCATTAGGAGAAATTGCATTTTATGGCAAAGAATCTGTATACAAGTTAGTATTTAAATTTAGTTATGCTTTTTTATTTATAATCTGGAAGGAGTAACATCAGTGTTTTCCTTAATATTTTCTGATTTAACTTGTACAATTAAAATATTCAAAGTATAAAAAGGACGTTACACCAACATTTGTTGTCTCTGTCTTACAAGTGCGTAACATAGCAAATTTTACGATCATCAGATCATGATTAGCTCTGTTAGTTTAAAAATTAGAGTAAATTTATCCTTTTAAAATTTAAAAGTAAGATTATTATCTGGGCAATGGCATATGCTTTTGTTATATTTAATTTGTACAATCATAAAAAACTCATTGCTCGCTTTAAAATTAAAATATAATAAAAAGCCTATTAGTCCATGAAATTGCTAGATAATAATCTTACCTTTAAATTTTAAAGGAGGTAAATTCACTCTAATTTTGAAACGTGATCTAACTGTGCGTAAAATTCGGTATGTTATGCTTGTAAGACGGATACAACAAATGTCAGTGTAACTTCCTCTTAAAACAATTAACTTACATTTTTTTCATTCTATCTTTTTTAATAATGTTAATGATACAATTTGTTACCAAAAATGTTTATTTATCATTGATGAATAATAAAAAATTTTAAAGAAGTTTTATTATTCACATTAATGTAACTTTTCACTTTACTGCTTCTCCTAAGTTAACATATTATAAATAATAATAATAATAATTCCTTTTTTACAATAATTTAGGTATTATCCAATAATATTAAATACATTTTCTCAAGTGGTTACTAAAGAACAACGATCAAAAGTATTAGACAATGTTTATGGAGCATTAGCACGTATGATAATTACTAACATTGAAGGAATTCCTCTCGACCACGTAAATATTTCCATGTCACAAATCTAAATTGAACACTAATATTTATTTTATCTGTGTTTAGTAGTTAAGTTATTTTTTTTAAATGGCAAGTTTGAATTCAATTCTTATTGAAATAACTAATTTAGTGGTTTTTTTTTTCTAATGACTGATGACTGAACACCAATATTAATTATTAATTGAATAAAAATGTCATGTTTAAAGACAAGACAGACTTCACTGAAGTCACTTCAGAGTATAGAAATGTATGAAGTATGAGTCAATTGTGTGTTATAAATGTATAATTTTATAATTTAAAGAAATTGATGGCATCTAAAAAACAGTAGTGGTTTTTTAGTGAAAACCGCAATTGCTTATATTGCTTGTAAAAAATATTGATGCAATTATTTTTTAAAGGTGGTACCTGTTATGATCAACTACCTTCCATTACATGAAGACTTTGTTGAAAACTTAACCGTGTTCAAATGTTTGGTATATTTATATGAAGTTGGCAATCAGTATATGGTTTCCATGTTAGAACCAGTGATTAAAGCGTCACTGGCTACATTAAATGATAAAAGAAAATATAACGAAGATGGTAATTAACAAAGTATTGTACTAATTCGAAATAACTTCAAAATTAATTGAATATGCTGAAGAAATCTTATGTATTACTTACCAGTTATGTTCATTTATTTGTATTTAATTATAATTTAAATGTTTATGAATTTTTAGATGTGAAAGAAGAGATTATTAAACTTTTGCGCATGTACAAGAGAGACTTTCCAGAAAAATGCTTGTCATTGACACTTCCTGAAGATTTATCCAAATTATTTAATGAAACATAATTGTAATAAAAAGTACAATGCAATTGTTATTGATCCAATATTATTTTTATTATTTTGCTTTGAATTAAAAATATTTTGAATTTCAACAACTAAATATTCCATTATAATTATTATTATTTCTAATATTTTTTTAATGCTTATTAAATTAAAACAGTTTGTTACATTTAAAATTGTAAATTATTAAGTGAACAATAATTTGAGTATTTCCTGGATATGTCTATTCAATACTTATAGTGTGTAAATAGGCGTAGGGTAACCAAATATATTGAGGAGGGGCGAAGCCCCACTATACATTTTGAATGTGGCGATTTGTGGAGGACTCTGCCCCCAACAACCCCTTTTTAACGAATTATTTTAATGAAATAAATTTTTAAAAACAAATCAAGCCTATACAGTATGTCCCATAAGTCCCGTATCACCCTTAATATCTCCATGTAAAATCACTATATTTAAACGCGGTTTTTTTTACAGTACAACAATACTTTTACATTCCTAATTTATTTTTTTACTACAATTATTCAAAAACATAACTTGTTCTAACTTGGTCAATTTTTATTTAATTTTAGTATTTTTTTTTTGAACTGTTTTAAAAAATATGCTCAACAAAATGGCTATCTTAAAAATTTTAAATTCTTAAATGCGTAAAAAATTTTTTTGACAATTTTTGAATTTAAAGAAAAAAATAAATGAATTTTATGCCATTCAATCAGAATTTTCATACTTAGTACTGTAAAAAAAACCGCGTTTAAATATAGTGATTTTACATGGAGATATTAAGGGTGATACGGGACTTTTGGGACATACTGTATAGGTATCTTAAATAATTTTAAATTGCTTGAATATCAAAAGGCCACAAAATAATTTAAAAAATTTTACCATGTATATAATTTTATAATATGAACAACTTATGAGCAACTTTTGTATTTAATTTTCCAACTTGTTCTCCAAGTGAAAATATCGACATATAAAGTAGAAAAAACTACATAAAATAGTATCATTATATGTAAAATATATTAAAAAGCACTAACAAGTTACTTAGTAGCATAGGCGCACATAGGGTGTTAATTTAGGGGGTGCTGGGATAATTTATGGTTCACAGATCCGTGGGGGGCAAAGCCCCCCACACCCCCCTAATCCTAATATTTCTGCATTGCATCAGATTTAATTTATACAGTGTATACAATAATTTCTAAAGTGCAATGTATCAAATAGTCTGTATGATTGTAAAGAAGACGCTAGGTACACCCACATGTGTTGTCTTCGTACTACAGACGTATAGGTACAACATAGGCAAAACTGTTTTGCACGGGTATAAAAAACATTCAGGCTCTACTCTAAGCTAAAAAACTAAATGTTCACACTAGAAAAATGAGAAAATTTACTCTGTAACTTTGTTTTTATATTTCCGATATCAAAACCAAAATAAAAGTTATTTAAGTTTGATAAACAAAAAAGGTGCTCTGCTGTACAGTAGGGTACAAGTGGGTCACTGTATAATCGATGGTATTAAATTTGAATTCAATGATATACTAACATCATTGTATAAGAAAAACGATTCTGAGCGAAGACGGTTAAGTCAGCCTATGATATTACTAAGTATATTTGATGATACTAAGGTGAATAAAGCAATTTATATATAACCTATTTAAGTAGAATCTTGTTTTAAATTTTCAATCATTAGCTATAAAAGTTGAACATTTTATAAATTTTTAACTATAAAATTATTATTAAATTTTAAATGTGATACATTTTGTCAAAATTTGAATTTTAAATAATTATAAAAAAAAATTGTGCCTATGTATTTTTAATATTTTTCAAGTGTTAATGTAACAATATATCAGGAGCTTTGCATTCAATTTTCAAGCTTTTTTACCATACAAATAAAATTTTATTGATATGAATAGAAAAAAAAATTAAAAAAATTGAAAACTGAAAATGTCCGTAAATAGCTCAAAAAGAATCAAAATATTTTCAAAACTATATGGTGTATAGGAAATGCTAATATAAAAATTTAGTAAAATTTTCAAGTATCTACAGTCATTCGTTTTTTAATTACAACAAAATTAGAAAATTGTTACATGAGAAATCGAGTGAATATCAAATGTTGTAAAAATATATGAATTTCAAACGTTGATAAAAATTTAATTTGAGATTCTTGTAGACATTTTTTTTTGATAAAAGTAGACAAACTTATGAGGAATCTTGCATTACATTTTCATATCTTAGATTTAAAAAGAAAAATTTTTATGAATTTCTAACTCGAAATAATTTGCAAATTTTGGTCATTTTGTAGTATTTTGTTAATATTTGGAATTTAAATGCTTATAACAAAAAACTGTGAGTAAGGATTTTTAATATTTTTCATCTGTCTTTGAAACAATATGTTAGGAGCCTTCTATTAAATGTTTAAGCTTTTATACCCAACAAATAAAATTTTATTGATACTTATAGAAAAAAAAACTAAAAAAAATGGAAACTAAAAATGTCCGTAAAAAGCTCAAAATAACTCAAAATATTTAGAAAATTTTATCATGTATAGAAAATGGAAATATAAATAACCAGTGAAAATTTCATATATCTACGGTCATTTGTTTTTAAGTTACACCAAAAACCAAAATCAATTTTCTCGAAAACAGATTTTGCGTAAAAATTCCCGGTTTTCCTTAATTTTTCTTTTATTTTTCACGGCGCTTTTGAAAACTACTGTGAAATTTTTGCTTTTGACCCCCCCCCCCCCCAAAGTACCAACTAGATTCACTTTCCTATCAGAAAAGATATTGTTGAAGAAAATCCAAGCACTTTTACTGTCCTAAAAGATGATGACAGACAAAAAAAAAAATGAATTCTTGAATTCATAAACAGTTGTCAATATTTGTAATGAAAAGAAAAATTCCGAACCAATAAACCACGATAGTTTATAAATGATTGGTGAAATACTGAAATAAACTGAGGGTGCTAGTTTGAAGCTTGGGGGTGCTAAGCACCCCCAAGCACCCCCCTATGTGCGCCTATGCTTAGTAGTATTTTTCAAGTAAGTATTTTCGAGTTACGTACACCCAAAAATGATTGAAAAATATCAATGTCAGTCGTTTAGGTTGTTTGGATGAAGAATTGATAGGGTTTACAGCATAGGCGTGCGCACGGGAGGGGCAGGGTGGGCAGCTGCCCCTCCTGCGGGCTCAAGTTTTCTTACAAAATAACAAAGTTTTTAAAAAAATATTATAATACAGTTTTATATAATGAATATTATGTAAACATTGAGTGCTCGATGTACAGTGCACGATGATTTTATGTTGTCCAACTTTAAGCGAACCACAAGCGATACCGCGGTGATAACGAGTGCTTATAATCTTATTATAGCATGATGTAGATTGAGATGTGATGAGACATGAAAGTGAGTAGTAATTTGACGGCATTTAATGCGAAAAACGTTCACCGGAAGCGCTAAGAAGGTCGGTTCTTTAAATAATTAGTAATTAATAATTATAATAATTAGTATGCAGTATACGAACAAATATTATAGCTCTTTACTTCCGAAGCAATTTTCGGAATTTTTAGTATTTTAGTATTTTTATGCTCAACGTGTTGATTAAATCAGAATATACCTATCTTTTTTTTTAATGTGGTGTTTTATATTGAAATTAATTTTCTATTTATACTGTAACCTACAAATCAAATTGTTTATTATATACCTATAAAGTATAATTTATAAAACAGTTTAAATAATAGGTTACATGCCTACAATAATGTATAAATTTCAATATTACCAAAGAATAGAATATTATTGATACATTAATGCATGATATAATAGTGGTACTATTTTTGGAAAAATCATACTAAGGATTTACATTTTTTTTTAAATGTTGATATTTATATGTTCAACGTGTTGGTGCAAATAATAATTTACCTATCTTACTTACTTTTTTTGTAATTGTAAATAAATAGTAAGTAGAATTAGTAAATTCAGATTTCACCAACACATCGGGCATAAAAATATATATGAATGCAGTGGCGGATCCAGGGCTTAATTTTGGGAGGGGCATGGGGGGCTCAAAAGTATATGAAAGTTCCAAAATTGGCTAAACACAGTGTAAAACAAAGGAAAACTACGGTTATTGGGGGGGGGGCAAATGCCCCCTTTTCCATCCCCCTGGATCCACCACTGTATGAATGTAATAATTTTCTTTGTTCATGTATATTAATATAATATAAAAAAACTTTGGAGTTTCAATTACTATATTAAATTTGTAGTTATTTGTAGTTTTAATGATACATAAAATGAAAATACTTCCATCACTTACATTAATTGAACTAATAACCAAAATAATATTTACTTACCTATATATTATATAATATACCTATAGGTACATTATTACATTCTGCCCCCCCTGCCAGCAAGGTCTGCGCACGCCTATGGTTTACAGAGGCTGATTATCATAGGCGTAGAATAGGGCATGGTCTAAAGGGGCTATAGAAAGCAAAGCCCCTGGACTTTTGTTTAGCCTGACCCGTACATTTTTTTTAGTTACATATTTAGAATGTTGTGTACCAGAAACATAATAGGTTACAGCTCACCTACATAAATTCACAACGTAACGCCTATGCTGATATCTAATTGATAAACCTATTGTTGAATCTTGGCTATTAGACTATTTAAAGTTTTATTTTTAATAGTTTTACGTTGCGACTCGTGACAATTCCCTTGGAGAATACCTACTGAAATATTATAAACGATCAACTTTTTTGGTAAAATTGTATTTTTTTTGAAGTACCTATTTCCATCAAACAAAAAAATGCATTTATATATAATATATAATATGGTATTTAATCATGATTCATGGTACCAATCTTGAAATGGATTTTTATTTCACCTACCAGGTATATCATTAAATGCCTACGACTTGATGCATAGACAAGAATTGATGTCTAATATAGTAAATATTAGTAATATACAAATTGCGAATGCACGAACTTAATATGGTCCTACGGTACCTATGTCTAAATTAAATAGCACGGAATTAAGTACAATAATTCAGTGATGTTCATAAATATTGACATGGAAATATAATTACTTTAGATATGACCACACTGTAATACAATTTACGACCGCCATTTCATGATAGTTGATACGACGTATTTGTTTCTAAATTTTCTCACAATTTTTTTTTTCTCAAAATATAATGTATTAAAGTTCATAAATTAGTTTCATAAAAAATCTGTAACATATGTGAGCTGGAGTTAAACAATCTTATGTATAGTTGTGTCTATAAACAATTTAACTTCGTTTTATATTGGACGTGCAGGGATTTTCCAGATGTAATAACACATTTTTTGGAAGTGGTTCATTTAACATTTTCGTTTCAAGTAAATTGTTATCTGTTTTTATTTAATATGAAATACATTTTTACTTTTTAGTGTTAACTATCAATACATTTTGTGATTTTATTAATTACTTTTTAGTAAATATTTTATTTGAATTGTGATAATCACCATGTATTGGAAAAATAATCCAGCATCTAATTGGGACTCAATTTTTGACAGAGAGGTAAATTATTATTATGATTTATGTTTTAATGTGTGATTGTTGTTTTTATAAATTAGTTGTTTATTTAATTGTATATTCTAGAATTTGTGCCTCAACGATCTCATGAGAGAACAAAATCTCTTGGAAGAGCTCAAGGGTCAGAACAAAAAACTCATAGACTTGTAAGTACCTATAATATAACGCTTTCCTTAAATTGATAAGAATGTTTTCACACTAAAAATGTTGCATTTTATATTCGATTGCTATTAAACGACAGAATTCTTCAGGAGGTAGAAACACTAAATTAGTATGATATGGACTACTATGTAGTGTTATTGCACTATGTTAATTTAGAGTTAACTAACACAGAGTTTGTTTATTGAAATTTATATTTTAAACAAACTACTATGTTATTTTAAAAATAGGTTTAAAATTAATGTTTCATGATTAAGTTACCTACATAGTGATATAATGAGAAAATCCACCCTAAATTTGTTTGTACTAAGTTTTTATAAAAGTAATTCCAAAATATTTTCATAATAAATAAAAGATACTGCAGATAATACTGGTTTCATGTTAGGCATTTGATTAGAATATTGACTATTCAATATTTTCTTACTGTGTAATAATAAAAATTGTACTTAGTTTAAAAAATATAGATTTTGTGTTGTAATCAGTGTAAAACACTTTCAATATTTCTTCAAGTTTGAAAATGATGACAACTTCTTTTTATCTTTTAAATATTGTATGAAGCATTTAACTAAATCATCATTTCTTTTTTTTTATTAATGATTGTTCTTTTTAAAAAGGTTTTTCTATAGAGATACTTTAGAGTCTATCTGTCTTTTCTTTTCTCAATATCCAAAACCTACTTTTATAATAATTATCTAAAAACAGCTAAAAAAATTATTTCGTTATTTCTTATTTTATATGTTGTCTTAAGATAGTAAATATAGTATCAAAAAATTATTTTGTCTTTCCAAAACCAAAAAAACCTTCACTATAGCCTAATTTTATGTTTTTCAGTTTCTTTATGATATCTGTCAATATATCATATAACTACATTACCTACCTATTGAACTTTATTTTTATTTTGTTGTAGCTTAACAAAGCCTGATATTGCATTGGAACTGGTGCGTCTAGTTACACAAGAACCTCAAGAAAATGAAAACCCAGAAAATCGCTTTGTTTTACCAAACTTAGCTTGTGAAATATTAACTAGCGATATTCAACCTATGTATAATGTTCTTTCTCATGAAGAAGAAATTTGGAAATGTTTTTTTAGTTTTCTAGAAGATAATGAACCTCCACTTAATTCATTAATGGCATCATATTTTAGCCGAACTTTATGTAGCCTTATATTAAAAACCGGAAGTCAAGTATGTCTATTGCTAATTTAATCTTAATTATTTTCCAAATTTATTTATTAAAAATATGTCTATGTATATAAAAACTATAACAATATATACAATTAGATAGTATTAGAAGAATGATGTTTCATAATATCACTTAAAAATAATCATACATAACATTTAAATTCTAAAAGGTCAGCTCTTCACAACTGTAAATTTTAGATTCTGAGTGGAACGATGAATGTATTGATTTTACAATGATGTTTGTTTTTTATTTTTTTTTTTTTGTGTGTCTGTCATCAAGTTTTAGGACAGTGAAAGGGCTTGGATTTTCTTCAACAGTATCTTCTCTGATAGGAAAGTGAATCTAGTTGGTACTTTGATTACTATGGTCTAAAGTAAAAATTTCCTAATAGTTTTCAAAAGCACCATGAAAAACAAAAGAAAAATTAAGGAAAAACTGGAATTTTTACGCAAAATCTGTTTTCGAGAAAATCGATTTTTGTTTTTGGAGCAACTCTTAAACAAATGACCGTATTTACATGAAATTTTGACTGAATGTTTATATTAGCATTTTCTATACACCGTAACATTTTCCAAATATTTTGAGCTCTTTACGGACATTTTCAGTTTCCATTTTTTTTTTAGTTTTTTTTCTAAAAATATTAATAAAATTTTATTTGTTGGGCCAAAAAGTGTAAAACTTAATACAAGACTCCTGATATATTGTTACAATATCAGTTGAAAAATATTTAAAATACATTGGCACAATTTTTTTTTATAAGCATTTAAAGATCGAATATTGACAAAATTTATCAAATTTAAAATCAAATAATTATTTTGTAGTTAAAAATTTATAAAATGTTCAACTTTTATATCTAAGGATTGAAAATTTAAAACAAGATTCCACGTAAGTAGTTGATTCTGTTACCAAAAAATCTAAAAAATACATAATCAAATTTTATTTTATAGTCATTGTAAGTTCAAATTTGGACGAAATTACATAATAAAAGACCTAGAATAACTATTTTAGATATTTTGTTGTGAGTGTATAATATTATTCGTGGGTACTTGCAACTTTTAAAGTACACTATCATATATCTATGATAGTATCAGGGTTTGTTGTTGATGTATTACGCGTTATAAGTACCTAATGGATATTGTGATATGATTAATTTGGAATTTATTATAGGTCAATTTTTTTTAATACCATAGATATGTATATAATATGTCTTAAACCTAGACTGACATACCATCTCCGCTCAGAATCGTTTTTCTTATACAATGATATTATATCATTGAATTCAAATTTAATACCATCCATTATACAGTGACCCACTTGTAATCTACTGTACAGCAGAGCACCTTTTTTTATTTTGTGTCATTAACACGTTCAACGCCGCCCGTGATTTCAGAAACTATTTAAATAACAAACATTAAAACACCCTTACCTTAAAATGTAGAGTTCATCGTCAATGGCCTATCTAAGTTTCAGAGTTTATAAAAAAAATCTGATTTAACTATAGCGTATATAAACGTATACGTTTTTGAAACGTTAACGCATTTCCGACCTGTTAGAATAAACTCTGTTGAAGCATATCCGCGTCAGCGGCGTTGAAAGTGTTTAGTTTTTGCTATATTTTAAGATCATAATTATTTTAGTTTAAAAAATTATTGTTTGTATATTTAATTAAAAAAATGTAGGATTGGTATACATATCAGTTTAACTGTCTCAAGGCACTTGAGAAAGTTTCAGATAAAGGAAATTTTATAGATTTGTTACTAAAACATCTCGATACATCTGCCATAATGGATCTCATTATAAAAATATCAACACTTTTAGAAGGACCTCCTTTAAGAAGTAACATATTCACAGTATGTACAACTATTTTTATAGTTTTTATACATTTTATTTAATGTCATACAAATAAAATACATTTCTTTTCAGTTATTTGAAAAAGAACAACTAATTTTCAAGTTAGTAGATACGTTGGATTCAAAAAATCTTCCTGTTAGACAATTGAATGCAGCAGAAATAATTTGTGCTATTGAAGTTGCATCTGAATTACATCCTCTTGAACAAAATCCACTAGTTATTTCAATTGAATCGTAAGGATTTTTTTTGTTTGTTTTTGAGGACCTTAAGTAAAATGAATGTTTAATTAATTAGACCAGAGACTATAAATACAGTGTTAGTGAAAATGTTTGGCCAAAATGAGAAGACTGAAAGCACATTATTGGGCGGCATTTCGATCCTGCAAACTTTGTTAATGGCAACTAAATTCAAGTTAGACACATGATTTTAATAAAAAAATTTTATAAACATTATACTAATATTTATTTTCTCATCAGAGGTGAAGATTCTAATGAAGTATATAACAAAAAGCAATCATTGGCCGAGATTTTGTATATTACAATTTTACCATTTTTAGAACATATTCACAATGTTTTGTTAATTCCTCCTAAGGTTTAAAATTTAAAATGTCTTATTTTGATAAAATTATAACAAACTATGGTCCACAAGTCTCCATACTTGATCTGTTTAGGATAAATAAACATGATGAAATTTATTCTTAGACTATACTTTTTTTTTTTGTAATATCTAATTTCATTTAAAAAAAAAAATAACGGTATCAATTAATTAATTAATTGATGGAATGGTACATTAATACGGAAGTAAAACTATAATAATTCTCAATGCTAGACAATAATTACTTTAAATTTATAAATTAAAAGAAACTCAAATCTCAAAAAGAATCTAATAAATTTTATTAAGTTATATTCATATTAGATTTCTAAACTAATCTTAAACTTCTTAAACTTCACTTTTGGACCATTGTTTTAAAAGTTGTATATAATGTATTTATACTTAAAGTTAGATTATTATTTTAATTTAGATCGAAAGTTTAGAATGTATGGGAAATGTAATTGAAAAACCTTTTGGTAATGTACGTTTGCAAATTGTGAGGTTGATAAGTTCATTACTAAGCATGCATAATCAACAAATAAATGAACGATTTGCTCAACTTAATACAATAAAAGTTCTTCTAGTAAGTATTAATTTAAAAAATATTATATTTAACTAATATAATATTTATATATTTTTGATTGATCTTTATTTCGCATTGACAACTTGGTTGTTGTGGTATTATTAATTTATATTATTTTAACTATATACTTAAACTGATAAATAATATCATGTTCTATATATTATAAATTAAAAGAACAAACTCAATATTATGCAAAAAATATATTATGTATATAATTTTGATAACTAATATTTATTTTAAGTTTTTATTTTTTACAGTTAACTTTTTATTTTACTAAATTTAATTTGTTTAATGCATTTCTATATGGGTTATAAGTTTGGGTATCAGTTAAGTTATTAATTTTTTTTTTTTTACATAAAACTTGTAATTTTTTTTTTAAATCATGGACGTTTGCTGTATTGTAGGTGTTCGACCAGAGGATTAACCTAACCTTGTCTCACTTTATTTTTCTGGTGACATATTACAAGGACCTCCCACAGTATCTTACACTTATTTTTAAAAAAAACAAATTGCTCATAATCTATTATAATGTTACTAGCTGTATTAACTTATAAGTTAATACCGATATACTAATATACCATAGAATTGTATGATTAGGTTTAAGCTTTATTGTATAAATAGCTTGAAATTAATCTAAATATTTAAAAAATTTCATTGTGTATAGTAAATAATAATAAACGTACATTTACACGGCAGCGGCTGTCGACAGCGATGGGTAACGGTAACAGTCGATAACTGACGACCAATCACAGTGCAACTTTCTTCTGCCAGGAGGGGGGATCGGACTGTTGCAAATTTTAAAGTGGGGAATTTTATTCTAAATAGAGTGTAGTATATTGCAAGCCTTAGCTATTATAATTTAAAAGTAGATACATTTATTACTATTTTTTTTTTTCCAAAAAAACTTACAAATTTTCTTGATTTTTAAAATGTTTTCAGTAACATTAGGTATTTAAATGTTGAAGTATGTGATAAGGATAACAATTTGTCATCAAATAATCTTTGTTATTTTGTTGATATTCAAAAATGAATTGTAAATTAAAACATTCTACTGTTCCTTAAAATATCATTTTTTCAACATAAGGAAACTTTCAAAATATTTAAACAAATTTTAGGCTATTTATATCACAATCCTATTCACTTAGTTCTAATTAGGTAGCTCTGTTGATATTGACTTAGTTAAAAGTACTAAACTTAGTTAAGTACTAAACCTATACCTATTAATGTTTAATATACACCTATATAACATAATGCCATAATAATTACAATTGACAACGTTTAATTCAACCTACCATTTTATAATAGAAAAATGAATAACTAATAGGTATTAACATAAATAATTCATTATTAAATTCAAATTTAACACTGTAATCTACTTAATAACGATGTATACTCGAAACCTACTATACAGAATAACAACTTCCCAACAAAATAATTTGTACATTTTTGTGATTTTGAGAAATTCTGTCAAAATTCTAACTAGGTATTTATTAATAATTATTGTTAACATTTTTAATTTTTCATGCCTATAAATAGCTTCAAAAGAAATACATTTTTGAAAAATTAATATTCTGTGAAATATGCTCATATGGTGAACATCTAAAGTATATACGATTATTCTTTTTAGAGTTACACCAAAAACACTAAATCTATTTTGTTGAAAACTGATCTAAAAAAGCTATTGAGAATTTTCTTCTTTTGAACCCTCCAAAGTACCATATAGTTTCACTTTCTTATTAGAAAAAATGTTGAAAGTTAAAGTGATAATAGACACACAAAATAACAACACATATCATTCTAAAATCAATAAATCCATAAAATCGATCTCCGAATTTAAACTATTATTATGTTAAGTTGGTTGAATCTTAATATTTTGGAAATCTTTTGGATTAATCTCTATGAAAGTTAAAGTTTCAAATTTATTATTAGTTTATTAATATTAATAAACAATTTATTGTATTTCAGGATTGTTTCTTTTGTTATGATTTAAATAATTTTCTGCATACTCAAGTAGTTCAATGCTTTCATGAAGTTATGTGTTGTAACCATTCAATTGCCGAAAACAGTACATTTATAGCTCATGTAAGATAATTCATAAATAAATTATAATTATTATGTATTATATACTGATGCCACTTTTTTGTATAGGTTATCAAAGATTGTCAATTAATTGAATCTATTCTTGATAATGAGAAAAGGTATGTGTCAATTAGATATTAAGGTATACAAATTACAAAAATACACTCTTTTATGTACAACTTTTGTTGTTTATACTTTTAGAAAGTAATAGAAGTTTATGGAACATACATTTTTTATGACAATCAATTATTATAAAATTGAAAAGTAGAGCATTATATTTTTTTTCAATATTACCTAATTACCTAAATAATTAACATATATTATTATAATTACAATTTATTAAATAATATTGAATATTGACTGTGTTATTTATTATGCTTTGCTTTAAAATTGAAACATTAAAAATAAACTTCTTATATTATTATCAATTAAATTTGAGATTAATAATTTATTAATAAATTTGAGATTTTACACAAACTTAATCTCTAATCAATAACTTTGCTCTGGAAGTCTAGCATTAGATTGGCGTATTAAGATTTAACTATGTACTTATCTATTGAACCATCAAAGTTTATTTTTTCTAAATACCAATTACTATATTTATGGGTGAATAAGTATGTCTATGATTTGTTGAGTTACAAAAAAAAAAAAGAATAACTCAAATCAATTTTGTTAAAATGATTATGCCAGGGGAATTCCACTATAATATTTTTACTTAAGGATTATAATAATTATATTTTCTATGAAATACATGTATATAAAAACAGGTATTTTGAAACATACATTTTAAGACCACATACATATCTATTTTTTATCCATGTATTACTACATCCCCTAAAAATCCTTTCTCATTGTTGTAAAATAATCATATTCCTCACATTAAAAAAAAGGTTAAATTTCAAATGTTTGTTGTTTAGTATTCAACCGGGAAAGAAAAGAAAAGGATACATTGGTCACTTAGCAACAATTGCTAAAAGCTTACATAACACTGAAGCTTTTTACTCTGATCATTTCCGTGGAATAATTGTAAATACATTAGATAGTGATATTGTTAGTCGGTGGGATTCTTTTACATCTACTACATTAGAAGATAATGAAGAAAGAATTTCTACTTGTTTGGTAAATTATGACTTAATTTATCTATATTTATGTAATATACTATTTTGTAAATATGTGTATTTTAAGGGAGGGATTCATCCTCGAGAAGAAAAAGCACTAGATGATAGAAAAGAAATGGAAGAAGATGAAGCTATTTATGGGCGACCTGAAACAGAATTTAATATTAATGACAATCAGCTTGGGGTATCTAGAGTTGATATAAACTTTGATGAAGACGACGACGATGATGATGATGATGATAAGTAAGTTGGATTTTAAAATTTATTGTAATTGTTAAATTTTTATGATTTTATTTTTAGGGATTCAATGGAAATACAAGCTGAAATGTTTAATCGTATGTGTTCAGTAAGATCATCAGAAATGATCATTGATGATGAACCCGAATGTATAGATACAAATGACGATCAACCGGGTGCTTTAGGCTTATTTAATAATCAACTTTGGAAGGATTCTGATTCAGATTCGTCTAAAAAGGATTATGGTGTTAACATTTTTAACAGCTCTTATGACAAATCAGAAAATGTAGTGTCTAAAGATTGTAATTTGTAAGTTTACTATACTAAGTTTTGTTTAAAACGCACTTATAAATAAACACAATTTTTCTAAAGGTATTGGTCCCAAGAAACCTCTGATTGGGAAACCTTTAGGTCTCAATTAAAAGCAAAACCATCAAGTGAGATGAAAATTGATAATAATTCTATTAATAGTAAGTATTTTTTAAAATAACTAGAATATGGAAAATGTTTCTTAAAAAAAGTTTAAATGTTAGATACATTTTTGTAATCTTAAAGTCATGATAATTTAATGTGAAATCCTTATGTAGCATAGTATTATGTCAGTAATTAGTATTAGTCATTACTAATTAGATTATATTTACACTTTTTTTCTCAGTTTTTGAAACTTCAGACGTATTAGAGATTTATAGTACTCTATTCAAGATAAGAAACACAGTTGGGGGCCAACTTGTGCGCATGAGCTTGGAAATTCTACACGCTAGGTATATAGATAGTTAACTTCGTGGGGGTGACAATAGGGTGTTGTCTGACTGCCGCCAACTGTGTTTCTTAACTTGAACAGTAGTACAGTGTAGTATGTAGATTTATGATTTAAACCCTAACTTTGGTTGTTAAGTTTCAGGTGCTTTTTCTTCAAGCCCTTGGGGAGAAAATGTTACAGAACCTACACCTAAATTAGAAACTGGTTGGGCAAATTTTGATTCAAGTTTTGGTGAGCCTTTGGTGGCTAATGGTGATCCAGTAATTGATCATGAATTGTTTCAAGATATTACTCCACCACTTGTGTTGCCTGAAAATGCTACAATGTCAATAGACAATTTGATACGTAAGAATTAGTGTAAACTGTAAAATATGTATAAATTAATTTGATGTTTGTAACTTAACCTTTATGGTTGTATGTTATTGATTTAGACTCACATTTGGAAGATCAAGAGACTAATGGTGATCCAGTAATTGATCATGAATTGTTTCAAGATATCACTCCACCACTTGTGTTGCCTGAAAATGCAACAATGTCAATAGACAATTTGATACGTAAGAATTAGTGTAAACTGTAAAATATGTATAAATTAATTTGATGTTTGTTACTTAACCTTTATGGTTGTATGTTATTGATTTAGACTCACATTTGGAAGATCAAGAGATGACTGATCAAACAAATGATGATTTACTTGCATCAAATACATCTTTATCTGATCAATTACCCAATGATGTACCATTGGCGGGTAGTTCTCCAAAATCGAGTGTAAAGGATTTGCCTATTGTTCCAATTATATCAACCACTTCAGATACTTCTTTAGTTGAAAATTCACATGATGTGAATTCTGTAGATAGGTAATGGTAATTTAAAGCCTTAAAACCTTCTTAATGGCATTATAATATTTTTTAAAACAAAAATTATAAATTATGATTTTTATAAACTTTTTTTTTATTATTAATTTATACATAAATTATGATCAATAGTCATCTGTGTGTATGTTTTCAAAAGTGTCCGTCCGTTTTTATATATGAAACATCAATATTTATCATAAATCTATTAATCCTAAAAAATAAAACAAAGATTTTTATTGAATAAAATGTACTCATACACATAATTAAATTATTTATAATTTTTTTTTTTTTATTGAAAGACAGTACTTGTTACCTGTGTAATTATTTATTTTCAGTGTGTTTAGTTTAGTGTTTGAATTACAGGGATCATAAGTGTAATTTTTAAATATTTTTGTTAAATTCTATAAAATATGATTACAAATTAAATATATTTAATTATTCTTTACGAATTCGAAGAAGAAAAATCATCAACTATATAAAAAACCCACCTATATAAAACATATGATAAACTTCTTCGAAATCTTAGTTTATTTATTATGTTACTGTAACAAGTTATTATATATTTTACGTATATAATATATATGTTTTTTTTTATAGTTGACTTTGTTATATTATCAGTTATCATGGTGCATGTTTCGAATTATACAAATGTGTTGAATTTGTTGTGTATGTATGTATGTATGTATGTATTCAAATATATAACACATTATGGAAAAATTATTATTATTATTATTATTATTATTTATTAATTATTATTATTTTTGTAAAATTTGAGCGGTTACTGGATATAATATGTTTGATGAGAAGATCCTACAAAAACTTTTACTGTGATAATATGGATGTCCATGTTTGTGAAATATAAGTTATACATTATTATACTCAGTTAACTGTTATTTCTTTAATAACTGATCATTGTTATTTAAGTTATTTAACACACACCCATATTTATTTTGTAAAAAAAAAAATAGGAATAATAAATCTAGCACCAAATTATTTAATTTAATAATTGAAATATTATTAATCATTAAATATTTATTTTTATTAAATTTGAATATAAATTGGTTATATTAATATTTTTGTAATTTATTACGCAATGATATTTTTTAATGCAAGTATGATCTATAGTTTGTTTTTCTTGTAGCTTTATGTTACTAATTTTATTGTTTAGAATTATTTTTGCTTTTGATTATTGAAATACATAAATAGTTAATTCTGTTAGTATTTTTTATATTTTAAATGCTTGCAGTTTTTTTTCAGTTTCCATTCCAACATGAATGTAAAGTGTTGAGCGGTATCTAGATAACAGTTTTGCTCTGTACTTAAGCTGCACTTATATAAAAACCTATATAGTATATACACATGATTTATAATCATATTTACTTATAATCACTAAAAATAATATTATATTATATTATTATTATATTATTAATTACTGAATAATTTTCTCGCGCTGAATCATGTTTTGTTCACGGCAGAGAACAGTTTGAACAATTTATTCGTTAGATTTTTTTTTTTTTTTTTAGATTTTTATTAACTAAATAAATTGGTAACTTAAATAAGAATTGAATTTGTTATAAATTAATAATTATTAATACGTTCTAATAGATCCATTAAATGTAAAGAAATAAACAACATACTAATTTACGTTTTTTCTGCTATAATAAGTTATATGATTTATTACATAAATTAAAGAGAAAATTATTCAGTAGGTAATTGAAGTTAAAATAACTTATGAATATCACCGTAATAAATAGTTACAAAAATGTCAATGTTTAACAATCCTAAAATAATTATTTTCAGAGTTAAAATCAAAAAGCTGAAAATCGAGCGCATTTTTTTTTCTAATTTTTCTTTTTTTTGATTGGCTGTAACTTGGTCAATTTTGGACTTAGAAAGTTGATTCAACTACCAAAATTCATTAAAAAAATAGGCAAAAAATAAGTAGTGGTTAAAGCAGGGGGTTGCTATTTAAAAAAAAAAGTTGACATGCGCATGCGCGTGACTAATTAAGTAAAAAAAATTCAAAGACCATAAAAATGTGTATTTTTATGTCATAACAACTGCCAAAAAAACGGAATTCAAATAGCAGGTCTCTACGCAAAGATATTGAGTGTTCTCGATTACCGTTTACACACTGTATATATTTCTTTCTTTATAGTGTCACTTATTACTGACAATTCACGGGAAGGTGACTGGTGAATAACGAATACCGAATATTCGTAAAACTACTCTATTAGTTTGTTTCCACCGGGAACCCATGTAGGCATGTAGCGAATATTCGTCGAGTAGGTAGGTACTAAAGTAGTAAGTACAAGAGTCGTGACTCGTGGGATTGTGATTTTTGAGAAGGGGACCTAGCTTAACACGTTGATTGTTTAATACCTACTTTAGTACCATGGACGTCAGTGGCGCACACAAAAATAAATAGGGGTAGCAAATTGAATCGGTTACCTCTATATTGGCTAATAGACTAATGGCTATAGCCTATAATTATTCAATATTTTTATACGTAGAAGAATTTTTTTGATGTAAATATTTGGAGCCAGGAGGTCCACCCTCCCACCTACCAAAAAAATCAGGGGTAGCAACTGCTACCCTTGAACCCTCCAGTGTGCGCCACTCATGGTCGATTATCGTCACGGATTCCCGATTGCCACACCACACATACGACCGGTCGACACCGTGATCCAATTAAGTGCTTAATGCCTACACTTAATATTTTATAAATTTCAACTTTTTTTAAAATATTCTTTTTATAAAATTTGATGTCATTTCTGTTAGCAACTTTAAACAACTAACGATCGGTAGCAGTTTAAAGTAAGACTCGGGTCAGGATTCTGGAAACTAGGTAAATATTTAGAACGAAGTGTGTGGTATTCGGCGTTTATTCTTACAAACGGCAAACTAGAAGAACTTAATATTACAGTTTCTAACTTAACAACTTAGATTAACGGTCGTCGGGGACGCGGGACAAAGCGGTGTACCCGGTCGCTACGAAAACTAGAACATGACTCTTGCCGGACGTCCCGCCGTCGCGGTTGTCCGTGTATCCGTTGAGCGCGAGGCGCAGTGTGACCAGTTCAGGGCACACAGTGCCTCAGCCCTTACAATATACATTATAACTTGATTTGATTATGATACATTTCGCACGAAAAAAACATTTGTCGCTAACATTCGGCCTTTCCTGGCCAGTCAGAGTGTCCTCGCTCTGTGGAGAGCCAAGCCAGAAACGTTAGGCGACATTACAATAAATAACTTACAACGGGTGATTAAATAATTTTAAACAATTAAATAAATAACTTACAACGGGTGATTAAATAATTTTAAACAATTAAATAAATAACTTACAACGGGTGATTAAATAATTTTCACAATTAAATAAAAAAAACTTACAACGGGTGATTAAATAATTTTTCACAATTAAATAAAAAAAACTTACAACGGGTGCATATCATGATGCAGTAGGTAGATAGGAATTAGTCCAGCTTGTAGTCGGACAAGTACGCAGGTGGACGTCTGATCCGGCTGGGCTCGATGACGGTCGGATTGCCCTCCGCACCACGATCTTCATCATCGACCTCATGTCGGACATCGCCCTCCTCGTCTTCATCATCGACCTCACGTCGGACAACGCCGTCTTGGTCGTCTCCTTCGACCTCGTCTTCACTATCAGCATGTTGCAGAATCTTCCATGATTTTAGCTGAGTGGTGTGGGCGGTGGTGGCGTACACCTCTCGACCGTCGGAGGCCACCTCAGCCACCCTATAGGTGTCTCCTGGCAACACTTCCATCACGTGTAGGGGCTTCTCTCGATATTTTGCCTGTAGTTTAGTGGGTTGATCTGGACGTGGTTGCCGTAACATAACAACGACCTCCCCCACTTCGTACCTTGTTCCCGGATAACGGTTCCGGTCGTAATGGGCCTTCATGTTTGCCTGGCCCGTGGCAATAGCATTTCGTACAGTCTTGCACGTCATTTGGGTTGGTCCATTCACCACTAGAACGGCTCAGTGTATTGACCACGCCTCCCACATACCTTGGTCGGTATCCATGGAGTGCCTCAAAGGGTGTACGAGTACTTGTTTTGTTTACGGCGGAGTTGAGGTGCCTCTCCAGTTCCGGTATCCGTTCGTCCCATCGATCTTGATCGGTTGTCATTATGGCTAACAATGGCACAATGGTCCGATTCGCGCGCTCGACCTGCCCATTGGCCTGCGGGTGACGTGTGGAGTTTAACGTGTGGCGAATACCTCGACTTTGGCAGAATTTACCAAACGCCTTCCCGGTGAAGCAGGTACCACGATCGCTTATGATACGTCCGGGAATTCCGCGAGTGTCACAGAATTTCGACAATCTGTTCAGTACACCGGCGGTGTCCGTGGTACGGCACGGATACAAATGAGTGTATTTTGTTAGGTTATCCACCAGTACCAATAGGTACTTGTTACCTGTGGCGCTGGTTTCAAAAGGACCCAGATGGTCGATGTGTACTACTTCGAACGGTCGCCTACCAGTCGGTATTGGATGTAGGTAGCCTGGATTCTTGCCGGCGGGTACCTTGTGTATTAGGCAATCCAGGCACATTTGGATGTGCTGTTTGACATATCGGCGTAGTCCAGTAAACCAATAGTCCTCTGTGATCTTTGCGACAGTTCGGTCCAACGAAAAATGACCCCCGTAATCGAGTGACCAACAACGATCCCTTTCCTCATCGACCGAGGCACGACTAATAACGATTTTCCGGCATGTCTTCGGTACAGGACACCATCGTGTAGTTCGTACGGCTCAGTCAGGGACTTCTCGTGCTTGGTGAGTTTTCTTGTTGTTTTCATCAAATTGATCAGATTTGCGCTCGCGGCGTCACCTTGTTGCATAAACCGCACTTTGTCCACAACAGTCATAGCAACAAAGACGTCGAGCCGTTTGGTAAGCTCGTGTTCGACCGATATTTCTTCCGCGTCGAAAGTCGGCGGGGCGGCGCGGCTCAGGGCATCTACGTGTGCCATACGGCTGCCAGGTCTGAACTTAACTTCGAAATCGAATTCCTGTAAGATTTCAAACCATCGTGCTATTTGTGGCTTAACAGTCTTATGGATATTTAAATATATTAACGATTGACAATCTGTCACCACAGTAAAATGTATTCCCAACAAGTACGGGCGCAGACGACTAAGCGACCATATGACGGCGAATAACTCCAGCCGGCTGCTGTGGTACTTCGCTTCGGCGTCGGTCGTCTTTTTGCTGACCGCGTAGACCATATGCAAATCGGTGGTGGTCGGTCCTTGCAGCAATATTCCCGATAGTGCCACGGCACTAGCGTCAGTATGTACCTGTGTCACCGCTGCCTTCGGGTTGAACATGCGCACCACTGGCGCATTACATAACAATTCGCGGAGCGTGGTAAAAGATTCCTGTTGTGCTTCGCCCCACTCGTACGCCACATCCTTCCCAGTGAGCTGCGTCAACGGAGTAGCCACCTTGGCGTAATTGACAATGAAGCGGCGGAAGTAACCAGTAAGGCCCAAAAAACGGCGTATCTCGTGCGCATCCCGGGGCCGCGGGAATGTCTTGATTGCGTGGACCTTCTGTCCTGGTCGTATCACACCTTGAGAAACGGTAAACCCGAGAAAGTCCAACTCACTTGCACCGAACGTGCACTTCGCAGGTTTTAACGTCAACTTAGCTGCGCGGAGTGAATCGAATACCTGTCTAACCACGACGAGCATTTCTTCCCAATCCTTAGAAGGTATGATGATATCGTCCAAATATACGTGTATTAACCCCTGGTTCAGCAGTTCCTTAAAGACGGTGTTCATAATTCTTTGAAACGTGCCGGGGGCCCCTTTCAACCCAAACGGCATTCGTTCGAACCTCGCGGTGGTCTCCTCCGTGACGAATGCAGTTTTCTCCTTAGCCTCCTCGCTCAGTGGAATTTGCAAGAATCCATTGGAGAGGTCCATCGTGGAGAATATCCGGCCCTCCGCGAGCCGCGATAATAAGTCATCGATATCCGGCATCGGATATGGTTGGTTCTGAGTTTGTTGATTAAGCCTCCGGTAATCAACACACAATCGTTTTTCACCTGTGCCCTTATTTACAAGGAGCACCGGGCTAGCGTATGGTGACGTCGAGTCCGAAATAATACCGGCGGACTTCCAGTCGTTCAAAATCTGTGCAATGATGCGACGGTCGGTTGGCGACGTGCGATACGGTTTTTGACACACAGGGTCACTACCCTGCACCTCGTCAATGTTCATTTTCATAACGTCTGTGCAACCGAGTTCAGCCAACGTCTTGGCGAACACATCACGGTACTCGTTTATGAGCGTCATCAAACTGCCGCGTTCGGCTTCAGTGACACCCGGGTCTATCTTGACGTCGGTATGCAGTAGGGGCGTCATCGTGGGCTTGTCAGCACTGACTAGAGCTGCATATACATTCGAGCTTTCTTCCGACACATTTTCGGACAGCGCTGTAGAGTTAATACCGTTGAGTGTCTCGATGACCAGCTCATCTTGGCGCTTGTAATAACTGATGTGTGGTAGATTTAGCCACGTCCGGCCTACGATTACGTCCACAGGGATAGAATCGTCACTAACGACAAGCACCGGGTGATCGGCAGCGCTCGCGTCATCGACCGCTATATCTGCAGTGGTCTCACCCAGCGTCACCGCACCTGGAGAGTTCATGTCTCCGACCGTGAACAATAGACGACAGACCTTGCGGATTTCCGACGTGGATCGTTCGGCGAGGCTGATGCGTACCAAAACATCTGACGAACCCGTGTCGATCAGGCAGGTAGCGCGTATGTCGTTGAACAGTATATCCTTCATAAAACAGTTGCCCTTCGGGTACCTTGATGTCGGTTCAACTCGATATGTTTCGGCGGGAGGCGTAACCTTGCGTGGATTCACGGTGCACTGACCTCGCGAATGCGTCGTCGACTGACAGCCCGAACATGGTTTCCGTGGTTTCGGACAATCACGTGATATATGTCCTGTACCACCACAGTTGTAACATCGTACCGTGGACGTTTTCGGTAACTCGGATGAGGTCGTTGGACCTTCAGTTGTCGTTGCCGACGTTGACGGCGTCTTATCGGCGGTACGACGGGTATTGGTGTTTCGTTGATCGTACTTCGTTGTCTTCGCGGCAGGCACTACGTGTGGCCTAGCCGTCGTGGGAAACTGCGTCCGTCGCAGTTCGTACAAACGTTGCCATTCTTGCAGGTCGGCCAGCAGTGTTGCGGTAGTGCTGTGGTCCCTGCTCATGGCATAAACTGCCAATTCTTGAGAACGAATACCCATGACGATGTGGTCCCGCGTTTCAGTGAAGGTGAGATGCAAAGCTTGGCACAGACGGAGCTTGTCGTAGAAATAGTCAGCTATGTGCTCAGTTTCCCCTTGCAGACGTTCACTCAGCGCCTTCCATCGGTCCGTCATACGTAGTGTACGGACAAAGGCGGAACGGAACTTCACCTTAAAATCGGACCAATCCGTGAATACCTCCGTGTGGTACCAGCTACGGGCCGCGTTCGTCATGTTTGACTTCACGAATTGCAGTCGGTATGGCGTTGGCCAATTGTTTATACCAGCCAGAGCATCGACAGTGCTCAACCAATCTTCGGCGGCGCAGCTCGATTCGTGGCCGGTGAATTCAGGCACAGTTCGGTTCAGATCCGGCAACATTCGGTAATCGCTGTAGGAGTGTGGCACGGAGTTCTCGGTTTGCTGTGTCGGGGGCTGCGTCATGACAGGATTTCCCGCATTCTTTTCCAGCAACTCCAACCGCGACTTCAGCGACTGGGCCAAATTGAAAAGATCGTTGTACGTGGGAGCTTGGATGTGCTGAATGTTCATTGGTGGGGTATGGTCACCCATATTAAGATCGGTGTCGAAACGGCGGACGGGCGCACTCGCACGATCGGGCGTCGGAGCGGCGGACGGGCGCACTCGCAAGATCGGGCGTCGGAGCGGCGGACGGGCGCACTCGCAAGATCGGGCGTCGGAGCGGCGGACGGGCGCACTCGCACGATCGGGCGTCGGAGCGGCGGACGGGCGCACTCGCAAGATCGGGCGTCGGAGCGGCGGACGGGCGCACTCGCACGATCGCGATCGAAAACAGCAGGCGAGATAACGTTACGTACGTTACGTGATGGGTTTTCCCGAAGTCGCACACGGAAATACAACGTGACCGAACAGAAACCTCGTGACAAACGGGTCACGATTTCGGAGTTTCGGGTCCGTCGACGCACTCGGAAACACGTGTGAGGGGCCTTCGAGCTTATCCCACTTCTGAAATGTTAGCAACTTTAAACAACTAACGATCGGTAGCAGTTTAAAGTAAGACTCGGGTCAGGATTCTGGAAACTAGGTAAATATTTAGAACGAAGTGTGTGGTATTCGGCGTTTATTCTTACAAACGGCAAACTAGAAGAACTTAATATTACAGTTTCTAACTTAACAACTTAGATTAACGGTCGTCGGGGACGCGGGACAAAGCGGTGTACCCGGTCGCTACGAAAACTAGAACATGACTCTTGCCGGACGTCCCGCCGTCGCGGTTGTCCGTGTATCCGTTGAGCGCGAGGCGCAGTGTGACCAGTTCAGGGCACACAGTGCCTCAGCCCTTACAATATACATTATAACTTGATTTGATTATGATACATTTCGCACGAAAAAAACATTTGTCGCTAACATTTCAAAACTACGTTCCTGAAAAAAAAAATTATAATAATTTTTAAGTTTTCACGGATCGCTTTTTTCAAGTTCGCTACGGATTCGCTCTTTCTGATTTAGCTCCTATAAATGCTATAATGGTGTGCCTCAAGGTGGCATCCTCTCACCAATTCTCTATAATATCTTTGCTTCTGATCAACCTTCTACCCCCAACACATCAGTAGCTGATTATGCTGATGACAAAGTGCTAATATCCATTAACAACAGTCCAATCTTAGCGTCAATAAATTTACAAACTCATCTTAATGCTATGGAAAAATGGTTCACAAAATGGCGGTTCAAAGTTAATCAGAATAAAACCTTTACCCTCAGACATACTCCTTGCCCTGGTGTTGTTCTATACGGAATTCCAATTCCCCACTCTCCGATAGTCAAATACCTCGGCCTTACATTGGATAAAGATTAACGTGGGCTCATCATATCCGAACCAAACGATTAGCATTGAATCACCGTCTTCGCTTACTTAAACCCTTATTATACAATAATAATCACACAGCTATTAAAACTAAATTACTTATATATAAAACTCTTTTGAAACCACTATGGACCTACGGCCTTCAGCTTTGGGGCAATGCGAAAAAGACTAATATCTTGAAAATCCAAACTTTTCAAAATATTGCGATTAGGAAATTAATAAATGCTCCACCCTACGTGTCAAATCATACACTGCACACCGACTTAAAACTTAACACAATAAACGATGAAGCTAAAATCTTTTATAAAAGATTTCATTACCGTCTAAATAATCACCCAAATCAACTAATAAAAAACTTGGCCAACCCCTCAATTCCAGGAAATCCTCCGAGACGTCTGAAGCGTAAGTGGTGTCGAGACCTCTTAAATTAAAACTAAATTCCTAATTTAATAAAAAAAAAAAAAAAATTAATAAATAATTATCAAGCTAGCAGAAAGTGTCATCAATGGGTGGCTTCTTTCAACAAAAACCTCATGTCTCGTTTACCTTTACCTCATTTTCCTATTGTGTCTAATATTGAGACAGATTGTTAATTACTTTTAAAAATAAAAAAAATTAAAAAAAGTTTTTACTCATTTGAATCATACCAAATATTTTTTGTTTCATATTCTGATGCAGTTATTATTAAGAGTATTTCTCAATGCATAAAAGTTAAATTTTGGAGAATTAGCCCCCCAATTGGAAAATTTAATACAATAGGCTCCTACCATATTGTTACAATGAAATTTGAAAAATATTAAAAATCCTTAATCACAGTTTTTTTTATAAGCATTTAAAGTTCAAATATTGACAAAATACGGAAAAATCACTAAAATTAGCAAATTATTTTGAGTTGAGAATTCATAAAGACTTTTCTTTGTAAATATTAGATTTGAAAATGTTATACAAGATTACTCATAAGTTTTTTTACCTTTCTTACCTAACTGTGGATACATGTAAATTTTACTGAATGTTTATATTTTTATTTTCTATACACCATAACATTTTGAAAATATTTCGACTCTTTTTGAACTGTTAACGGGCATTGTCAGTTTTCAATTTTTTTAGTTTTATAGGGTTCCGTACGGTAAAACGGGATCCTATTACCAAGGCTCCGCTGTCCGTCCGTCTGTCACCAGGCTGTATCTCATGAACCGTGAAAGTTAAA